CTCTTTATAGGAGGGCGAGAAAAATGTTTATAAACGATCTAGAGGGTGAATTCTAGATCTTGTCAGGTCCCGACACCAGTTTATCTACTTCTCGTAACGCGGATAAACACGCGTGATATTTATACCCTAGATCTGATTCAGGAAATAATAATACAGAGACATCTCTTAACAAAGTATATAGAATTTAATAAACAAATAAACAATATTAATACAGAATAAGAAATGATCAATTAATTCAAAATGGTCAAATCAAAGAACAAATAATCCAATCAATCGCGACAAGAAGAAATCTATTCTTAGTCTATAACCGAGTCGAGAGAGAAATGTATTCTTAAACCATACATTTACGAGAGAGAGAGCTCATAATTTAGTCTTAAACATACAACCTGTTTACTTGGCAGTGTCGTCTTCTTATTCGTGAAGGTACTTCATAGAATATCTTGGAGTAACTTGTTAGGGGTGACAAGGCGTTGTTCTGCTGGCATATCTGTGTGGAGTCCTTTCACTCTCCGATCTATGGACGAACTCTTAAGGATGGTGTGGAGCCAATATGGGAGACGTCTCTCCTCTATGAGATTTTCTGACGAACTCCCTAACTAAGGACGATAGCCTTAGGGAGACAATATGGAGACTTCTTTCTACTATCAGATCTCCTGACAAACTCCAAAGGGTGATGGCCTTAGAGAGCGAATATGTGGAGTCATGACTCTTCCAGGTCTGCTGATGAACTCCCGAATTCGGTTAATCATCCCATATATCTTCTGATTGACGACCAATTATCAGTTGAGGCTTTATCCACGTGAACGGATGGGAAGGGGATGAAATGAGGGGTAAACAGTTCCCATTGAAGAGAGATTTTTAGCAGATAAGGGGAAAGACAGAGGATGTTCTAACTTCCATGGAAGGAAGTGACTCTCCTAGCTGTTTTCCCACGCTAGAAAACGTTATTTTTCCACCCAAAATAAAAGAATAATTTACGACATAACTTTAACATTATTAATTAAATCATTAATTTACACCCAGGGGCTATTCAGATCTCACAATAGAGAGAGGAAGGGTGAAGTGATGGTACCTGAAAGTGACAACGTCGCGTTTCAATTTTTCTTCTGTTTAAAATGTAAGTACCTTTTCTTCATGTTTTAAATTAAATTGTGGCTTTCTTACCTATCTAAACATGTATTTCACACCTCCCCTTTGCCACTTAGACTATGCCTATAACAAGAAGTCGATCGCAACACATTTTTAAGATAAAAAGTTGATCTTATGTACACAAGTTGGCCACCCTTGCTATAGTACAACAAAAATGTGTGTTTGGATCCTATATCCTAACATTTTTTTTTTTTTTTGAAAAATCTTGCCAACTGTTAAGTTTTTATAAAGTTTATTACATTCACTATATATTCTAAGACCTGGTTTAATGTAGGACTTGGATATTTTGATGCGATTGCTTCCCTGTGAATAATGCAATGGGTCCACAGTGCATCAGAGGCTTTGCTTCAAATAAGTGTGTGCAATTTTCCACAACAGCCAACATAGAATGAACACCATCAGTACAAATACCAATGAATTTGGTCCACTCCAAATTATTTTCAGATATAAAAGTATCAAGGATCTCGAAGACGTCTTGAGCCTTAGCACCAGCAGTGATACTTTTACAAAAGAGAAGGTTTTCTACAATGTTATTACTATCTATAAACCATACATAGCAAATCAAGTGAGCATCTGTGGCCTCATCTCGCTGCAACCCAAATTCCTACCCTTTTATTTTTTCAATTAACCGATCATTGAGGTCCTCCATATTCTGTGACTGATGGTGTTGGGCTATTGGACAAAGGCACTTTTGAAAGCTGCTTCCCAGCAAACCCACCAATCATAATGTTTCCCGCCCATATCTACAACAGCTGATACAATGAGTTCTTCTGCAATGGTATTGCTTAGTATTGATGCCTGCTTAGTATTGATGCCTGCTTATAGAAAGTACCTGTTTCTTGATTTAACTCTTAACTTTCTGGTAGTCACGAGATTTAATAACCATGCTAAAATAATTGAATTCTAAATAGCATTTCAACTTGCTTGGTAGCATGCACTCTGGTACTAAAACTTTCATACACCATATGCACTCTGGTCTTTCATCACCACTGACTTCTGTTGACATAAAACCAAAGTCCAAATAATTGTCGTCACATTTTCAATATTTACACTTCTTTACACTCTTGCCACTGGTTGACAATGTGCCCTCTACTTTCACTTTCACTTTCACAACACTTATTATTATTTAGTAAAAACTTACCATTTTTAAAAATACATACAAGAAGAAATACTTCAAAAACTTCATCTGACTTAATTACAATATTCAGTTGATACAATCTCCAAAAACTAATTGAACACTAGCTGTCAGTTTTGTGCAATTTCATTTATATACAAACACAAAGTTTGACGAACTACTAAACTAAAATAATTAAGGAAATTATTGCAGTGCACCATCTGGTAAACATTTGTAGAGGCTTTTGAAAACAGTTATTACTGAGTCAATGGTTTGCACCAGGTCTGCTAGATGTTGCATCGTATCACAATGAATTGAATATGAAAGTAAAATTATGAAAATTTTATATTTTGTTGTGCCCTGTGAGGAAGCTGGGGCTCCCTAGGGTGCCGCATACTATGGGAAATGCTGGGCTAGATTCTTCAGTTCATTCAAATCATGAACAGTAGTGATACAAGAACAAAGCTTTTTTTTTATGTAGCCCATTCTCAGATATGGTATGTCCAACTTAGGAGTGTGTGGTCATTATTTCAAGCAGGGCTGATCTGTCTTTCTGAAAGAATATTATTGAGATAAGCTCATACATTCCCATGGTAATGAGATGGTGTTCCATTTTGCTATGAAGATTTATTTAAAAAGAAAAAAACATCCTGGATGTTTTTCTTTTTATATAAAACCTTTCTCCTGGAATTTGGAATGCAAATTTAAATTGGAGTTGCTTGGTGAGAGCTCCTTTGCAAACTGGAAGTTGCATTGCATGGCTGATATAGATTCCATCTTAATAAATTCAGGACACAAAAAGCTTTCTCTTGCTTGGACACTGATGGTGCAAAATGGCACTCACCATCTTTGGAATTCTGAATGAAACTGACAGCTGTTTTATCCTTTAGCAATCACCATTTCATTCCACAGTAATTTGTTGTCCAATAAACTTGTATTATTACAGTAGAACCTCCATTATTCGGATTTTTGATTATCCGGATTGTTCAAAATAAACAAAAATTTTACGAATTTGCTGATTTGCACTTGGTGAATTACGACACTGTTTATGTACGTGATGGAATGCATAACTTTTTTTGTTTCAACAACGTCTTGCCAGGCACAGTGGTCATAAACTCTTAAATATATTTTATGTCGTAATAAAAATATAACTTGACATACGTATTTATAAATAATTTATATTCAAATTACATCATTTCTATAACCAAGGGCGGCGTTAGGAATGGACGACGTGGCCACCGCCTATGCCTCGCGGTCCGAAGGGCCTCGCGCTTCTAAGGTTTATGCATTACTTAAAAGCCGAGAACGCGATGAAAAAATTTTACTCGTCATAAAACAATAAATAGTTTGTCAAATTTTTATTCATAAAAATGCAGTTTTTACTGCTTTTTATTTTATAAAATCCGTCTTCTTGCGCCACCAGAGGGCCTTTTAAACAATAGGTACTGTAGTCTGTTAGCGTTGGTCAGTAGTAGCCCAAATTCAATACGAACGTTTGTTTCTTGAAAATTTGATCACGATTTAAATACAGTATTTACTTTTAATATTACCGATATGTCATCGAAAAGAAAACGTGTTGTATTATCATTAAAAGACAAATTAAAGTATTTGTTTCGATTATCCGGATTTTTCCTTATCCGGACTACCTTCATCCCCAATTAGTCCGGATAATCGAGGTTCTACTGTAAATCTTTTTGAAACATGCTATTAAATCATTAGAGAATTTATGTACATAGTTTAGTTTAATTTTTTTCTCTTAATGAGAGAGATTGTAGTGATTTTTCTCATTTCAACAAAATTTCAATAACTGTATTTTGTTGTGTGTGTGTATTAAATATGATTCTATATATAGTATGATGGAGGTAATTAAGTTATAATTAAAAAACAGTGACCATTTATAATTTAAGATTTCTATCTTCTATTATATGTTATAAAAGTGAAAGATTTCTTCTTCATACAGTGTAACCTTGACTTATGAGTGTACTTTAACCCTGAAGATCTTGGCCTGATTTATGAAGTTGATTTACAAGCTTTTTCATAATTCCTTATGATCAAAATTTGAACTTCGTTTCAGGATAATCCAGTTGCCCTGTCCATGTTCTCCAAATAACAGATGAAATAACATCCAAAATATCCAAGATCCAAATAACAGATGAGATTTTTTTTAAAGAAAGTTGTTTGTTATTCAATCTATAAAGAACTAAACTCGTGATATGAGAAAAGTGAAGTTTGTGTGTTATGATAATTTATGTAACTTGTTTTACACTGAACTTTTTTTTCTGTTTTTAATAGAAAGATGATCTCCAGTAGAAATCTATAGATTTGTTTTTTAATAGCATAGAGACAGTTTGCTAGACTGTACAATTAGTGAATACCACTACTACTTAACAAACATACAAAGAAAAGAAAATTAGAACTAACAAATCATGTAATTGTTACTGTGAATTTCAGTCTCATTGATTTATGATTTTAAAATGGGTTTTTTCTTGTTTTATCAAATATTTCTGCTCAAATCAGGGAGAGAACAGACAACAGTTTGTATTGAATTCATGTATATCAAGTAACCATAACTTGGGGTCACACTGTATTAGTCTGTTGCTTGTATTTAAATATTTCAGATATTTTCAAATAATCTTGATCCCATACTTTACATAGTATTAAAGGCATTAATTGGAAACATATTTATTTAAAAAATTATAATCTCATTTAATACAGTTTTTTGTTTATTATTATTCAGTGTGTTGCAGGAGGAAGAAAATAAATGCAGAAATAACTGAAAATGCAGAAGAAATTGAAGTTTCATACTCAGGGAAATTACTGTTATGATATTTTCTTAATCTCAAAAACAGATAGTAAAGTTAAAATAATTCCAGACTAAATTTAAGTATTTTTATCATGTAGAAATACTTTAAAAATAATTAAAAAAGCATTCCTATTTTTTATAAACTAACTAACTATGATATTGATGATCTATAGATCTATCGATTTATCAATATGCCAAATGTAATTGTTTGTTTTTAGCAAAAATATGCTTAATGTTTATAAATTTTATTTATTGTTTATAGCTAAATAAAGCAATTTAAGTCCTTTTGCATAAACTATTATGGATATTAAAGAATTTGACATTTCTGTTAATTTGGACTATTACATTAATTGTAATTAAATTTTGACATATTCTGCTATCTTTTGATGGTTTTTGTGAGATTTTAGGTAAAGAATTATTTTAAATTTGCATTTCCTGTTCTGTTTTTAATGCCTTTTCATTGTGAATGAATTATTTAAATAAAAAAATAGTTGAAATTACAGAAAAATTACAGTTATAGAAAAGTTTTTATAAGCCTTTATATTCTATTTTTATGCAATAATAAAAAAAAGTAGTAGTACAAAAAATTTCCCAACTATAGAATGAGTTGAAGTTGTCAGATTCCAATTTTAGATTTAGAATTTAGACAATGTTGTTATATTTTAGTTCTATATCAGATAAATAGATGTCCCAGCATATGAGGCCATAATCCATATTAGCATTGCATGCCCTTTTGGAAACATAGGAGCCAATTAATCTTGTTCTTGTACTTCTGGAGGTAGCAAGTATATTGGAGTGTATTCTATCCCTCTCTGATATGACTTAATGGGACATTTGACAGGTTGACAGCCCCCCACACTCTAATCACTACCCATCAAACTTTTCTATAAATAAGGCCTCAATTCCACCACCTTAGCCACTTCTGCTTGTGACTGACATTGTGGTCCATTTTGATCAAGTAAGAATTCTTCATAGGACATATAACACGGCGTAACTCAGATACTTAGTAGCCGTTTATATCTCTAGAAATTCTAAGTGGCACATGGATATCAATTTTGATGCAGATTCATTCTAATCAATAAGGAAGATTACCTGGATCAACTCCAGTATACTCCACAATTATGTTACCTGTGAGATTAACATGATGCCCACTCCACCAATCATCGAGTGGTCTTATTTTAGAAGCTTGTGACAGAATATCTGAATTCAATGTTGAATTCTAAAGCCTGAAGATGTCTGTTTAAGATGGAAGAAAATGTTTGCTGAGATAAAGTTGGTTCTTTTCACTTGCTTGGTTTTTTTGTGTGTAGTTTGCTTAAATTAAAAGCATGTCACTTGTAGACTTAACCAGTATCTACTAGTTAAAATTGATATTTTATTAAAGATAATCAATGTTGAATTAACTTAGGAGTCTGATTTAAGAATACTTTATCATATATATACAGTATGATCATAGCATAAATGCTTTGTTTGACAGATTTCTGAAATGGAAATAAATTCTGAACATATTCACTAAACCATTTATTCAATATTAATCAGATAATTTGTTTAGATAAATATGTTTTGTGAAATATAAAGTGATATTAGACACTAGAATCATCAACTGCTCTCTGCTATTGTTAGTCTAATGATTGATTCTTGTAAATATGTTCTAGAACTTTTCATGAAGGTTAGTTTTAATGTATAACTAAACTAAATGAACAAAGTTAGAGAAAATATAGAACATTGTTTATCCGTAAAAAAAGTGTTTTTCTGCATCCATAATTATTTTGCTTCGAGTGACGATTGGGCCTTCCAGTTTTCCCCAGACTCAGAAAAAAATTCTCAAAATGAAATAATTTTGGAAGCCATGTCATTAGATCATACAGTAAGCAATGTCTCTAGAAAAGAATTATACAACAGTTTGTCTGGTGATAAAATTGACATTCAGAAACTGCTCACGACGTCATCAGATGGTCCTCCAGTCAATATGAAATATCTAGCAGAGTTTGGCAAAAGCTTGATCACAAGGGACCATTCATGTCTCCAACTAGCAAATCTCCATTTGGTGCATAATTTTTTTTTTTGATGCACTAGCATATTAAAGAACTGCTCTGTGCAATCTTTTGTTGGTTTCACAGATATACATTGTGTTTTGTAGATGGATATGAAGTATTTGAACTGTTGGGTATAAAGGTGCAGTAATGCTGATTGTATGTAAGCAATAGATGGCTTACAATAGTTCTAGTGATCACATGCACACAATTGGGATAGTGGTAAACTTTATAAAATACATATTGAACAAACAAAGAAAAGTACAGTAGAGCATTGATTATCTGAATATCGATCAACCGAAACATCAGTTAAGCGAAAGATTTCCAGTTGGCAAATTTAAATTTCTGCTAGTGCTGTGGCGCTGCAATCTGGCTATGTCTTGGGATACTCCAATATTATTTTTGTTGGTGTGCATGTTTTAGCTGGCAGCACTGGCACAACCATGAGAGGGTACTTAAAGGACATGCCAGGATTTGAATGAATTTCAACATGGGATAGGTTAATATATTTTTTCGTACATAATCAGTTATCCGAAAAATCAATTTTCTGAACAACCCCAATCCCCAATTGATTCGGATAATTGATACTCTACTGCAGTGTTCTGCAACCTTTCTTCTTTCAGCACACCAAAATGTTTTCCTCAAATATTTTACATTTAATTTCTTAGAATATATAAAAATGTGTGGCTTGTAATAAAGAATAAACAAACATCGTCTTATTTCATCATTGCTGTGGCAGAGAATGAAATACAAGCATAAAAAACACAGCAACTGTGATTAAAAATATATAAATAAAACTTGAAATTAATAGAATATGTAAAAGTTTACGTCACACCTTCACCTTTGTGACAGCACACTGTTTGCAGAACACTGCTCTACTATAATTGCAGGCTGCATATTCATACTACTTTTAAGTAATGTCTTTAAAAAATTTATCCTTTATCAAATAAGGTAAATTAAGATAATTGTTTTCTCTAAATGCATAGAATATGCATTACATATTCTTGATTTTGCTATCCTTTTACTTTTGTACATGCAAATGCAAAATCAATGCAAGATCACTAAAAAGTAAACTGATTTGAAATTTCTCAAAAGAAAAAAATTTAAATCTCAACAATAGTTTTCCTAATATTTAAACATCATTATAACCTGATACATTATAAAACTACAAGCCAACCAATGCAGTATGTCATCAGGCTAGAAGATGGTTATAATACTAATAAATTATGAAACAAACTCCTCCCCTCTAGTACCAATCTCTTATTATTTAATTAAACATTATAATGATTAAACTTATTTATTTAAATAATTTAGAATTACTGGAAGAAAAGAATCATCCTGGAGCGGGGCTCGAATCTGCAACTCCTTACTATGCAGATGCATTGACAATTATTCTCCAGTCTGATCTCATCTTCCCATATATATAAGCGTCTTGTCTTCCAGTATATATCTGCATGGTAAGCAGGAGTTGCAGGTTCAAGGTCTGCTCAAGGCTGATTTTCTTCCAGTGATTTTTAAATTATTTAATTAAAAATTATAATTATTAAATTTATTAAGAGATGGTGCCTAACACCTCCCCTCCATGGACAGGCAGATGTAGTTTCAAGAAAATCTCTCTTCAGCATCAGTATTAAAAGAAATGTTAGTACATAATATCAGAATTTTTTAAATTGAGCTAACATTGGTGATTTTGTGAAAAAAAGGCTTTAGGCTTAACAGAATTTCAAGTGAAGGAGCATGGGGAAAGTCACATGCAAATTTCTGGACACACAATGGTTATTTGTCTGATGAATGTAGACTGGCCATTCCAAAAATAAAAATTGAACAAATTTACAATAGGCTTATGTAAAACAAAAATACACAATCCTGGAACTGGACAGTAGAACAACGAAGTAACTTATCAATAAACCTCTCATACAGTCCAGCAATATGATATCCAGACACTGTCATTTCTGAAGGCCTTTTGGGTAGGTCAAAAATGTTGAATTCTAAAATAGAATACTTTATGAACCATGGGCTACACTCTTAAAACTTGACTGTATCAAAATTTAAAAGTACATATTCCGTGGTTTGTAAGCCATTCCATTTTGGAACTCCACACGTTTTCGGTCTTCTTCAGGATAGTATCTTGATATCATACTGCTGGACTGTGCATGAGGTTTGCTGATGTGTTATTTTGTTGTAAAACAAAGAAATGTATAAAGATATCCTTAGTCCAAAAAGACTCAATGAAAATGAATCTTATTGAAAATAATGTTTTGTAACATATGCAATGATTTTTTATATTTTGCTGATCAGTTTCAAAGAATAAAATTCCATTGTAGAATATTATGTAGGACATTTATATCAAAATTTTAAAACAGTACATGCATGTACTGTCCTAAAATTTTGATATAAATGTCCCATATTTTTTCATGAGGATGTCTTACATAAAAAATGAACAAAATATAGTATAAGCATTTGACTATAAGTTATAAACAAGATGATATATTTATTCATTTCATGTTATGTTATAGTATAAAGGTTTTAAAAATACAAGATGACACACATTTTTTCTTTGAACTTCATATTGACATTATCACTGAATTTTGGATTTTTTTTAAACAATCACATATACTATTTGATTAATTTATTAGAATATTCACATTAAAAGTTTTATTTTTACAAAAACATCTTGACCTGTTTGTTTACTCTCTTTAATTTATCTATTATTTTGATGATTATTTTTGATAAAACTTGGACTTTGATTTTAGATGTGTAATTTCAACAAGTTGAAAGCTTAGCTTTTGGAATATCACCAAAAACAATACACTTATTAGTCAAATGTGTAATTTAAAGTTAATGAAAATTTTTGAGTATTATTTATGTAAAGTTTAAGCTGACATATCAAGTAAAAAAATTAAAAGTTCATGCTTTGCACTTACAAAATTGTGTTTGATATGTTTAAGTTGAAATACTATTTAAGAAAACTGAAATTTTATTGAAATTTCAATAAAATATGAAACATTTTTTATGTAAAGGTTGATTTGAAAGAAGGTGCAGTTTATACAATGATATAGGTTATAATATCAAATTAAAATAATGTGGTGATCATTCTTTCATCTTAGGTAAACATGTCTGCAGGTAAACAATGTAAATAGACAGAAAAAGAAACTCCTTTGGTCTCTTCCCTTTTATGCTGGTTTTTATTTCTTGAATTTCTCTTCTTTAGAAGTTGGGAAATTTTCATTTACAATAGTCTGAGGAGAGCAATGATGATAGCAAATGAAATAAACTTTGTACTGCTTTTTCATCTTAATGGCTTAGTGATCTGATAAGTCAGTACTAAATGCTGTAATAATCTTTGATGAATAATAATAAATGAAATTTATATCTAGGTTTAGATCCACAAAAAGGTAAATATTGAAGGTTGTCAATTACCAAACTTTAATTATGCCATACTTTCTCTCTGTTATAGAATATAACAGCCAAGAAAGATAAGTTACCTGTATTTATTTTATTTTTTGACCATCCAATGTATTTTTAAAGCTTTGTGCTTAATAACAACACCAAACGATAGCCTAATTATCTGGCTATAATATGGCTATTTTAAATGATTGGAACTAAGTAATTTGACAATTAGAGGTAGGCGTTATGCTTAGCATACCATGCACAGGCAAAGCAGGTTAAAATTTGCAAAGTTTGGTCCCATTGGATCACTTGTCAGGCTAGTGATAAGTAACTACCTAGACAGGGATAGACTATGCTAACACTTTGAGAATCCCAGAAAAACAAATAACAGTTGCATTTTGACATTTTTGGGTAGTGGTGACAATGCATACTTCCACTATTTATGATTCATAAACAAAGCAGATGAGTATAGATAAACCCAGCATTTGTTCATAGTTACCAGATGGTCAAAAAAGTCATCCAGGTTGGAGTGACATAGCTCCAAGTTGTGCATGCATAATTCCACCTTTGCTTGCTTTTGGAAAAGGTCAGCATTCTTGGAACCCACCATCCAGATCTTAGTGCACTATTGTTTATATAAAATATTTTGAACTTGGCATTAGTCACAATACCATTGATGGTGATAAGCATGTCTGCAAGCAGCAGTTCCTCCCCTTTCAATATCATATCATTGGTGTTGCAAAAAGGTGGAAACATGAATTTTGGTGTGGTCGTATGACCACACCAAAATTCATGTTTCTACCTTTTTGCAATACCTTTGTGATGAGATTTATATATTTATCTCTCTACAATCACCATCATGATATTTTTCTGTACAATCCGTTGAGAAGTTCTCTAGTGGGAAATCTGGGAATCACATGATACTGTAGCACTCTCAAACTGCAAGAGTGGGTGAAACATTAGAAGCTTGACAAGTATAAAGGAGGATGCACACATGCGGCATGGCAAGAAAAAGTGGTGTCACAAACACATCTACGCCGCACATCAGCACAACCATGCAAGTGGCGATCTGCTTATATTTCAGTGCATGTGTTCAGTAGGGTTTCTCAAACGGGATTCCGGGATCCCGGTTGTTTTTTTAACCCGGGAAATTTTTCTTATCCCGGGAAATCCCGCAAATTTCTTCAAAATTCACTTTTTTTTTATTTTGTGTTAAGGTTGAGGAATTTTGCAAATAGAAAGCATAATTAACTCATTCACTGTCAAAATACATTTGTATTTATTAATTTTAAACCTACCTATTACTTTTTTTTTTTAATTTTTGCTCGTTATAGCATGTCACAAATGGTCAATAATCAATATATAGCTTATTTGTGGCAGGACTATAAAAATTCTTTACTTGTCGGAACCTGTAATATCTGGAATAATTGTGCTTACGCTGTCTTGAGTTTTAACCATGCCCAGTAGCTTCAATAAATGCCTGACGCCAGATTGTGCAAATTGGGCAAGGATACAAACGAGTACAAAGTCTGCAAGTATGAAGTTTTTCTTCATAAACCTGATTATTAAAGCCAAATGAATTGCCGAATTATCGAGCTCTAAGCTTGATGCCGCTATTAAAGCAGCCAAGGTAGACAAATCAAGAATACTAGAGAGCGAAAGAAGTACTACAATCTCGAAAACGAACTCGAAATCTTCCAGGTTACAGGTGAAAAAACACATATCTGTCTTCTCTTAAATGCATTAAACACTATTCCAATCACATCAATTGAATCGGAAAGGGCATTCTCGGTGGCAAGACTTCATTACTAAAATAAGAATTAGAGTGAGTTATCGGAGTATTGACCATCTTTGCTTTTTAAAATCGTATAAAAGCTTACAATATTT